CCCTCTTCCTCTTCATCGAACCCCATTTGTGTAGCAGCAGCAACAGCAGCAGAAGCAGCAGAAGCAGTTGGAGGGGGCGTGTCTAGTGTTGCAGCAGCAGCACCTTTAGGGTCTCCTTGGGGGCCCCCGGGGGCCCCCACACCAACAGCAGCAAGTGCTGCAGCAACAGCATCTGAGCCCAGCATATCAGCAGAGCGTACACGGGCTGAACCCATTGCTGCAGTTGACTGCAGCAACTCATACTCTTCTTCTTCGTCTCTTGCTGCTAGCTGCTCCCCCTCTTGTACAGCCCCACAGTCTGCACAAATAACAAAGCCGCTGTGGTCTATGCGGGGTGGGGTCGTGCTGCTGCAGCTGCTGCAGCTGAAGGTAGAGGGGGCCCCCCGGGGGCCCCCCCGGGGGCCCCCAGACAACCGCTGCTGAGACGCAGCCAACGATGCCTGAGATGCCTGAGAGGCTGCAGCCTGCTGCGACCCCCGCAGCAGCCGCCGCACCAAATCCAAATTACTCTCCATCTTCAGGACAGGGTTTAGGGTTTAGGGTTTAGGGTTTAGGGTTTAGGGTTTGAATCTTATGGGGTTATGGCCTAGGGTTTAGTATTGAAGGTCTGGGGATCAGGGGTACAAACAACCCAGGAAGGATGAAGGGTTTAGGGTTTAGGGTTTAGGGTTTCGGGGCTGTGCTGTCAACACCCCTGCAGCGGCAAAGCCGCAGCACAGGGGGCCCCAGCCCCCGGGAGGGTTTGATGGACCGGGGGCCCCCCACGGGAGGGTTTACTGTGCAGGGGGGCCCCCAGCAAGTACGGAGACGAGGCGAGGCCCCCCCCCTCTATCCCTAGAAGGCCCCCCGGCTGCAACCCCCCCACAGACAGCTGGGGGGCCATGGTGAGCGCCGCACCGCTGCCGGGGGAGAAGGCCCCCAGCAGTAAACCCTAAACCCTAGGCCGTAAACCCTGAACCCTAAACCCTAGGTCATATACCCCAGGACCCCCCAAAGAAAGAGGAAGGGCCGGCAGGGGCCCTCGCAGGGTTGGTGTGGAGGGTTTAGGGTTTACGGTCTAGGGTTTAGCGGTAAGAGAAGCAGTCAGGGTTTTCTCTCGGAGTAGTGCGTTTCAGGCTATTAAATACATAAAAATTTTAATTTTATTATTTATATTTTAAATTATATAAACATTAAACACAACCGCCGCTGCAGCTCAGCCCCATCGGTGCCTTGGGGGCCCCATGAGGAGCAGCGTGGCCCCCCCGCCATCAGCTCGAGGGTTTAGGGTTTAGGGTTTAGGGTTTGTTTCGCAGGCACCTGTATGTAAACCCTTTTCTTTTGGCTTAAGAACTCCTTCAGCAGGGTCACCCTGCAGCAAAAGGATAGCGGTGGGGCCCCCGTGTCCGCTCCTCCCCTGGGGCCCCCTCGAAGCTGTATATGAGGGGTGTTAGTGTATTGTGTTTTTGTCATTTGTTTGTTTTAATTATTTTTCCCTTTAATTTTTTTTCTCTTTCTCTTTCCGTAGATCTTCGTTCTTCTTTGCTTCTCTAGGTGCCATCTCGGCCTGTAGATCCTGCTATATTTATCACCGTTGAGGGTTTAGGGTTTAGGGTTTAGGGTTTAGGGTTTATTCTCTTAAGTGCTTCATCAGATCTGTCTTTCTTAATGTACTCGGGTACCCCTTCTTCTGCGTCCTCTGGGCCCAGCCCCGGGGGGGGCCCGTGTGCAGTGGCTGGCGCTGCAACAGCCTCTCCCTTGAGTCCCCCTGGGGGCCCCCCAGGTCCTCCAGGTCCCCCGGGTATTCCGGGGCCCCCAGGTGTATGCGAGGGGCCCCCTGGGGCCCCCCCCCCGCCGCCGCCACCACCGCCGCCTGCACGGCCACGGGGGCTGCAGAGGCCCCTGAGGGAAGGGGACTGGGAGTGCTCTGACCCTGCATGTTTGAATGTGAATTTTTCTAAGAGGACGCGGTGCAACAGATGCGGTAAACCTCGGCCAAAAGGTGTTGGGGGCCCCGTGGGGCCCCCA